CTACACACATATATATATATATATATATATATATATATATATATATATATACACACACACACACATATACATAATTTACAAAAATGTCTTTAAAGTAAACTACATTTTATGTATAATGCCACACATTTTTCATGTATATTACCAAGATGGCTTAACAATCTTCAAGATAATACAGCATCTTTAAGCATATCAATTGCCCTGTACCTAATCAAACACCAAGCCCAACATTTAATGATTTTTATCAAAACAACTTAAGGAATTTTTTTTGTGACTTTCTTCCTGTATTTCAGTTGTGAGCTGCCCTTTTACCTTTCATGTAGCCTATCCATCGGTCAGCAACTGATTTAAGAATAGGGTCACTTTCAAAAGTACTTAACAATAACAGTTGGTTAATGTGGGTGGTGTGGTAGTCCCACCGAGCCAAGTTTGGTGCCACTCCCAGTGAGTAGTGCCGAAGGTCATATAACGACCCTGACCCTGTATCAAAAAGAGGCAACAATTTTTTTAAAGAAATCATTCCATCTTCATATAATTTTGTTACCTCTTTGCAGTCTTTGTGTGTGCAAGTCATTTTTAGATCATAAAGACCCATAAGGGAGTAAATGAACCCATTGAGTACATATGAACTGGGAATTGTGGGATACTCTTCATACCAAACATACTTTCCTGCAAAGGCAGTCATTACACCATGACTTTCAGATCGAACTTTGAATGGTTTAACAGCCTTCATAGCTGTATAAAGATAAGTTATGTTCCCAGTGACTTTAAAGGCACGTGTAAGTACAGAGATGGCTTGACCCTGTCCCATTGCAGAGTACCAGCCTGGAGCTAAATCTGCCATACCAGGAAAAAGACGTCGTGAAACCATGATTGGCCAGCCACCATCTTCATCTTGATGACGAACAAACCAATTAGCAACTGCAAAAAAATGAGCCATGTGGGCCGAAGAGCAAAGTGTAATGTTGTCAATGTATCCCCACCCCCGAAGAGTTATATCACGTACCCTTGGGCTACGAGGTTTTGTTCCCTTTCTAGAAGTTTTTACTAGCATCAGCCCTTTCTGTAGATCTACTATAAGATCCCTTGTTATCTTCATCCAATCTTTACTAGTTCCTATCCCAAAGAAGATTTCATTTTCATGTGCAGAGAGAAGTGAATCAGTCATAACATAATGCAGCTTATAAATTGTACGTTTTCCTCCAAGAATGGTCACAGACAATGTGACATTAGCCTTCATCATAAGATCAAAAGTCAAGATCATGTGATTGGAATCTTCTTTCGAAGTAATGGTAAGTCCAGAGTCGGTGTCAGAACCTGTTGTGATTTTTAAAACCAAGGGAAAAGAAAAGACTTTATATAATTTAAAATTGTACAACTAAGCTATTTTGAAATTGCTTCTTCAAGAAGTTATGTAATATATTGTAATAAGATATAAAAGTATTGAAATCTCTTTCCTATTAACAATGATAAAAAAATATAGTTTTAGTCAAAAAAGCATGATCTCATTTAACTCTTTAAACTCGTAATTTTTTTGCACACACTGCTGTTGATCTGAAATTTGTTTTAAAACTTTTTTTTATTGTTTTGTGACAATGCTTCATGGAATTACCGGTCTATTTATAAGAGATTGATGGTAACATAGTTTAGGTTACCTTTCAGTCAAACAGACATAAATGTTATCAAACACTATCACTGTCCTATGGATAAATCAGGATTTTTGCTGCCAGATGCTGGCAGCATCTGCTTGGGTTTAAGAAGTTAATAAAAAATTTAAATGTAATCAATACAAAAGTCAGGTGTTGGAATGATACGTTGAGCATCAAACTTCTTTATTACTTGTATACAACAGCTTTTCATTATCGCCAAAGAATGTAAATGGATATACATCTTAATAAATAAGAAGAAATCATTTTAGGGAAATAAAATCATCCGAAATTTTCCTTATTATAGGAATTATAGAATTTTCCTTATTACAGTTTGATAAATACTAGATGAAAATTATACTTCTATAGAGAGAAAGTGTTAACCTTTCAAAAACACCACAACAATCACAAAATTGAAATATGCAAAAATTAAAGTTTGTCTACCATTATTTTCTTTTCACCAGCTAGAGGATTTTCTTTCTTTCTCATATTTGAGTATTTGTAATAAGTTTTGGTTTTGCTTGCAATTTCCAACAGAAAATATAGCTTTCTTTAAAAGAACCCTAATCTAGTCATTAGTGTGATGTGCAGTACATTAAAAAAATCCTTGATTAAATGAAGAAAACATTATGAATTTCAACTCTACACAAAATATGATACTGGAAATTAAGTATCTAGTGATTACTTGAAAGTATATTTTAGTATATTTATCTAATAAAAGAAAACGTACAATTCATATAACTCATTTTATCTAATAAAAGAAAACGTACAATTTATATAACTCATTTTATCTAATAAAATAAAATGTTCAATTCATATAACTCATTTTATCTAATAAAATAAAACGTACAATTTATATAACTCATTTTATCTAATAAAATAAAATGTACAATTTATATAACTCATTTTATCTAATAAAATAAAACGTACAATTTATATAACTCATTTTATCTAATAAAATAAAATGTACAATTTATACAACTCATTTCATCTAATAAAATAAAATGTTCAATTCATATAACTAATTAATAATCTCCAAACTTGTCAATGAAATGACTTTAAAGTCTGTACAGTTTGTTTTACAAAAGATATATACATATATAGTATTTCAATCTTTATACTCAAAACAGAGAACAAAATGCTAAAAATAACAAAACTGAATCATATGAAAGCATTTTGAATTTTCAGTTTGTGTGTGAAAAATCCTTGGGGAGATTTCACTTTATTGTCCAAATAATTTATACAGATGCAAAGGAAACCCATCATTAAAATGGAAGTCAAATTTAATAAAAGATTCTTCAATGTTTACTAACATGAACCTTGAAGGTAATCTCAGTAAAGTAATTCTAATTCATGGAAGATTCAAACTCACTTTTTATAAATAAAATTATTTTGTTCAAACATTTTTTATATCAATAAAAGTGTCATAAACTAACATCTCAGAAACTCAAATCAATAATCAAGACTAAATGTTACTCAGTTATAAAAAGATAATTAAACCTTTATTAGCTATACACTAGGAATACTTTCTCTCTCTCTCTCTCTCTATATATATATAATATATATATATATATATATATAAACACACACATACTACACATTGCACAAAACAGTTAACAGATAATTTTAATTTATAATATTATCTGTTGACTGTTTTGTGCATAGCTATGCCATGACAAAACTAGTGTTATAAAATAATGTTAATAATTCATTCTAGTGTTAGAAATAATGTTAATAATTAATTTTTATGTAAATCAAACATCTGATGATTCTCCATTTGATCTGCAATATGAATTATTTTGTCTTTCGACTTTCACTCATAAAATAACAGTTCACAGGAGTGACTTTACATTTTTACAATTGACTTCAATATGAATTATATTCATGATAAACAGCAAAGGTAGCCTATCACCAGTATTACACGCTTAAAAAATTATAAGGCGTCCTCAGTCATTCCTCTAAACAAACTGTCTCCAGGGTGTCTTAGCATCTAGAGTTACATGAAAGAATATGATGCTTCTCTCATGAGCATCCATACATGTTTGATGGAGTTGAAGTCTGGTGAGTATGCATGCAAATTACTTCACTTGGCCAATCCTCTTTTCTCCAAAAAATATGTTAAACAGATTAGCTTAATGGAAACATACAGTATTATCCATTAGGCTGAAAAGGCCAACGACACCAATAAATATCAGCACAAAGGGTAATAGGTTGTGGTTCCTAGGAGGTCTGACATTAATAGTACAATTCCACAGAATGTGAAGGTTGGTACATCCTAGTGCTAATTCTTACCCACAACATACTTCCAACATCATCATAATTTGTAACATTTTCCTGTATGAAAATAAGTTGGGTCTTGCTCCAAAATCTCTCCAAATGAGTATATGCTTATTATCCAGCTGAATGATGAAGCACAACTCATCTTTAAAAAGAACACTGCTCAACATTCAACATGTGATTGTTTCACTGGACATGTCCTTGGCATCACTGCAGTGAGCTCTTTTGTTTTGTTAGTGTATTTCAACTCATTGGATATCTGACATAGATGCCAATCTTGTATAGTTTGTTTCTAATCATCTCTAAACTGGAAAAGTATCCAGTTGAAACTACAGCAAACCATAATCAACAAATAGCAGTTTGCTCATCAAAGTGTTCACAGCTATATCACTGGTTTGGAAGTAGTTCTACATGCTACTAAGGGCATATTCAGATACTTGTAACCAACCTGAAATGATCTGTTGTGACTGGTTGGCTTCTATTCATTAAATGACTTTCCATGAATGAATTCATGGACATAAACTACTTTAAATCCTGTGATTACTTCAAAGTGGCAAATGAGACAGTGTTGTGAGATACCACTACATGTGTACACAAATTAAGCTGAATGACCAATAATTTACATTTCACACCAACTGGCTGAGCATTAGATGCCTAATTTATGTAGAAATGAACATATTTTTGATAACAATGATTTAGCCTTGTCATAGCTGTACTATTACAAATTCCTACTGTATTCAGTATATGTGACTATAATATTAAAAGCTTACCATCAGTTTTGAACTCCAGGACCTTTTTCTGGGTAGTCTTTTCCAAAACTCTTTTTAAAGGGGACTTGGTTTGACCATTAGTGAGCATTGTCCACTGTGCTGAGGGAAATATCTCCCCAGCATCAAGCAGTTTTATGGATGGAGTCTTTTCTGTGAGGTTCTTGCTGAAGTGGCTCAGCCCAAACTGGGCAATTTGGATGGGATAAAGATGACCTTGAGGATCCCACTGTGTTGAGACAGGTACACCTATTGATCATATGGTAAATAATAATTTGTATCTTATTGTATAAAAATAGAATAATTATGAATCAATGGTTTTCTAAATACATTAGGGAAAAGCTTTTTTGGAAATATAAATGAATGTAACTTAGATTCATGTCATTGTACATGTATATATATATATATATATATTCATCTTTGTGCTTGATTTTCTGAAAACTCTCATCAGTTAAAGAATTATCAAAAATAAATGCCCTCTGTTAGGATTCATAAGTAACTTTTATATGTTCTTGTCATTTAACTCAGTATCACATAAATAAAATTATATTTATAATACATTTCACTCTTTACAGATATTGCTCAGAATATTTCACTGAGCCCATCAAATATACTAAAAATACACGTAATCTACAACAAATGAATACTAAGAATACACCTTTTTGTTCACCTGATACATACATATACTGTGCCACTTTTTTTAGATAAAATATACTTACACCATGCCACTTTTTACACAGTTATATTAAAAATACTGAGTCATTACATTAGATATATATTAATAACACGCATCACACTATCATATATATGTAATCAAAATACATATAATTTTCAACAAGATAAATACTAAAAAGTTGATATTACCTTTCATTGTCCATCTCCATTAAAAAATTGTGCTAAGTAGCCTACACAGTCACATGGAGAGATACAATCAAAGTAAAGAGAGGTATAAAACAAAAGTTCAAATAGGAGCAGGAAAAAAATAAACCTGGGGAAGAGGTCAAAAATTTATCTGATCCCCCCCCCCCTGAGGTCGAGACCGAAAAACCGATGAGGACTTTAACTTGAAAATAAACCTCCATACTGT